AGGAGCCTCCGGATTGTTTTAGCAGATTTGCCCCCCCCCACACACACACACTCCCCGAGGACAAAGGGGGCTGGAGGCTGTGGGGGTGGGGGAAGCCTTGGCTGTCTCTAGCAGCAGGGAGGTCACATCAGGGAGCCCCTGCAGCAGGGGTGCAGCCCCCTCCCTCGCCGCTGCAGTGTCCCCCCTCCAGAAGGGGGTCCCAGTCTCGCTTGGCTCCCCCTTGTTGCTATGGCGATGCGCTGGCGCAGGGAGCGCGGCTGTTTGCTATTCTGAGCACAGAGCGTCTGGGCTGCAAAACCCGGGGATGTTGCTTCCGGGGGTGGGACATCAGGGAGCCCCTGCAGCAGGGGTGCAGCCCCCTCCCTCGCCGCTGCAGTGTCCCCCCTCCAGAAGGGGGTCCCAGTCTCGCTTGGCTCCCCCTTGTTGCTATGGCGATGCGCTGGCGCAGGGAGCGCGGCTGTTTGCTATTCTGAGCACAGAGCGTCTGGGCTGCAAAACCCGGGGATGTTGCTTCCGGGGGTGGGGGAGGGCACCTGGGCTTTCCCTCCCCCAGTGCCCGCAGGGTGGGGGAGCCCCTGTGCCAGCCCTCTCCCCCCACCCCTGCTGCCTGCATTCCGCTGCCCCCAGCTCCCTGGCTGCTCTCCTCTGGGAGGAGGCAGCTGGTTATATAAATGGCTCCTGGATGCTCGTAGCAGAGGGGCCGGGGATGCAGGGAGTGGGAGGACGGGGAGCTGCAGGGCCCTGGCTGTGCAGCTGTACCCAGTGGGGGTCAGGCAGCTCCACATGTGGGGGCTGAGGATGCTTAACCTGGGCCCCCAAGCAGTGCCCCCTGCCTGCGAGGATCCTGCTTCCCCACCGGACATGGGTGCTGGCGGAGCCTTGATTTCCAGCAGCTCCCCTGGTTCATGGGGCTCACCTGTGGCCTGCCCCCTTCTCGCAGGGTCCCCGTACTACGACAATGTGCGTCCTCTCTGCTACAGCGACTCTGATGCCGTCCTGCTCTGCTTTGATGTGGGCCGCCCTGAGACCATGGACAGTGCCCTGAAGAAGGTGAGGGGGGGCCCATGGCACATCTGAGCACTCATGTGGAGCAGGGGGCCCTGGGGCAGCTGGCCCCAGACAGAGATGAGGTGGTGTGCTTCCAGCCAGCAGTGACAAGAGCTGGTGGCAACCCCGGGGTGTTCTAAGGGCCCTGCCCCCCAGCTCTCCGCACTCGCATCCAGCAGGCCTTCCCCAGGGGTCTGACCGCAGGGGTGAGGTATTTCATACTGGGAAGGCCAAGCCCCTCTCATGGGGAGCCAAACACTCCTGTGCCCCCAGAGCCCTTCTATAGCTGGAGGCTAAACCCTGGGGGTGACCCCTAAATTTCCTTCTCCCAAGACTCTCTGCTTGGCTTAAACACGGGGGGGGAGCTCCCCCTGCCCCACTGCCTGAGAGTAGCACCCCCGTCGCTGCCTGTGCTGCTCCTGTGGGCACCAGCTGTTTCTTCCCGGAGATGGGGGTGACCCTGGGGTTCAAACATGGGGTTGGGAGGGGAATGTTTCTTTAACCTTCTTTGCCAGGGCTCAGACCTGGGGTCACTGCCCAGAACGACCCGCCCACAAGCCACTCTCAGCTAGTCCTGGGGGGAGGTGGCTTGGACTGGGGTGATCGCTGCAGGATCCAGTTGTGGGGTGAGGTTCCTGACTGGGCTGAGCTGTGTTGTCACCAGGGTAGGGCTGTGGGGCCCACGCCCTTCCTGTGGCTGTGACCCAGAGATAGTGCAAGGGCTGGGCTGCTGATAGTCTTGTGGGCTGCAGCTGAGTCAGGCCAGGGGATTTAAGCCTGGTGACTCCAGCTCCAGGGCCTGATTCACTTGGGGTTTCTCCATGCAGTGGAAGACAGAAATTCTGGACTATTGTCCCAGCACCCGGGTCCTGCTGATTGGCTGCAAGACAGATCTGCGGACTGACTTGAGCACCCTAATGGAGCTGTCCCACCAAAAGCAGGCGCCCGTCTCCTATGAGCAGGTGAGTGGGCTCAGCTCGTCCCCCATCGGCCAGGACTGCTCCTAAAAGGGGGGTGCCCAGGCTCCAGTTCAGATCCCAACCCAGAGGGGCTGGCTTTCTGGTTCCAGCATGGCTGGAGCTCTGCACCAGAAGCTTGGCTTAGTGCCACAGCCCCAAACCTACCTGGCCAGCAGCTTCCAAGCTCTGTCTGGCTCTGTCTGATGGCTCTTTCCTTGGCTGGCTTACAGGGCTGTGCTGTGGCCAAGCAGCTGGGAGCAGAGAGCTACCTGGAGTGCTCCGCCTTCACATCGGAGAAGAGTGTGCACAGCATCTTCCGGACAGCATCTGCCATCTGCCTGAGCAAGGCCGGCCCCCCGGCTCCCAAGAGTCCTTCCTCCTTCAAGAAGGAGAAGGCTAAAAGCTGCTCCATCATGTGAAGGGGCCTGGCCCCGGGGCAGGGACGGACAGACCAAACCCCAACTCTGGATGGGGGAGGGGTGGGGGGCTGCCTGGTGGCCCAGGCCAGATGGGGCGGTGACACCTCAGCCTGCAGAGAGGCCTCTAGTTCCCGACTGGCCTAAGCAGCCCCAGGATTGGCCCTTCACCATCCCAGTGCTTCCCACGCTGACTCAGCACGCGTTCTCCGAGGAAGAGAGAGTCGGGTGATGAGCGCCCCGGGGCGTCTCGATGCAGAAGGACCTTGGCAAGCAGCTGCTCTTGACACGTGCCCCCCCCCCCTTGGAGCTGGGGGGAGGGGGAAATCCATCCATTTCTTTGAATGCCCACTCGGTGTCTGGCTGTGACGCATCCCCTTCATCTGCTGCTTGTCTCTGGAGCCGGCTGCTTCTAGGCTCACGTTACCCGCTTCCCGCGCGGGGGCGGCTCCACCTTTGCCTCTGGGGGGGCAGGAGGCAACTGGTTTATAGACTTTGGGGGGGCAACTCGTCAGTGTTCAGTGTTATTAAAAAGCTTATTTATTATGGAAAATACACTGGCTCAGCCGTCAGCGGCAAGGGCGCCTCCTGTGTCTGTCAAAACACCTTCCCCCTTCCACCACTGCAGTGCCAACCGTCTTCCCCGACAGGGTCACTAAGGCGCCTGTGGGCAGGGACTTGCCCCAGCTGTGGGCAGACTGACCAAGCTGGGAACAAGCCTGGGAGCCAGGACTCCTGCTAACCACTGGTCCTAGCTGTGGGTATCCACAGGGCTCCTGCCCCTCCCTTCAGCCACATCACCTCCAGCAGGGCTGCTGTGAGTGTGGAGGTGACGCCAGCTCCTGTCTCTGTCTGGTTGAGTGAGCGTCCGGTGGGCCACTCAGCCCTGGAGCAAGTGAGTCACTGTCCTAGCAGTGTGAGTCTTAGGGCAAAGTCTGGCCAGCGGAGGCAGGGCCAGATTCCTGGTGCTCTGTGTTGGGTGCAGCACCCCCGTGTGGCAGAAACAAGAGGGGACTTGGCTTTGAGGAAGGACAGGAGCTTAGTTATGGCTGCACACAGACCCCCTGCTTCATGCTCTGCCCAGGGGAAGGGGCTGGTGAGGGCTGGGATGAATTTCAATAGATAGAGCCTATTTCTGGCTGTAGTGAAACAGTTGCTGCCCTTTGCCCTCTTACCTGCATGGTGGTCCCTGGGCCAGTCCCTGCCAGGACAGCAGGGCTCTCTCCTGAGACTGGTGGAGCTCAACTCTGCTAGGGTGCAGAGAGAGGCAAGGGGATGTGATCACAGTATAAGGACCCTTCAGGCCACAGTGACTATGGGGTTCTGGTCCAGGCAGTGGGGTTGGTGTCTAGGGCCAGCCTGGCCCTGTAACTCACAGCAGCTCCTTCTGCTGTGGCAGACAGTCTGGAGGGAGGTGGTTTGGTTACAGCTGTCCTTCTCTCTCCTCCCCTGCCCCCTCTTCAGCCCAGCCCTTTCTTCACAGCAATCAGTGGGGCCATGAGCTTGGCCGGGCCAGCCCCAGGAAGTCTCCCATTGCCCCTGAAGCTGTGACTGCAGTGGTTCTAACATATTGGGGGGACGAGGGGGGCTCTTCAGACTGGCCCCAGAGGGCTCCCTGTCCTGGAGATTCTGAGCCACCGGCTCACAGCGGGCCAATAGCCCCGTGGGCTGACACTCTCCCTTGGAAATGTTGGGCTGCAGAACCAGCTGGCTCAAGAGAGCTGGAAGCCCTGGGTGTTACGCTAGTGAGATCCTGGTGAATGAAGTGGAGGAGACTACCCTGGCTCTGGCTGCCGGGTTGAGGAGCGTCCCCAGGGGCCGTGCTGCTGGTGGGGAGAGGAGGAGCAGGCTTGGTGTCTTCTGCGGAGCCCAGCTGCATGGGAACCCAATGCACAGAGGCTGGATGGGTGGGGGCAGGGCTGGGTGCACAGGAGGAAGTGGAGCAGGGGCAGTGAGGCCAGAGGGC